CCATGTAGATGTCTTCATCCAAGTCGCCGTTCAAAAACGCAGTCACGACATCCATCTGATGAAGTTCAAGGTCGTAATGAGCAACTAAGGCAAGAAGTAGACGAATAGTGGTAAACTTTATGACGGGGGCATATGTCTCAGTATAGTCAAGACCTTGCACTTGCTGGAATCCACGAGCAACAAGTCTGGCTTTTGCACTTTCAACTATATTGCCATTTGCATCAGGCAGTTGCTTGACATTGAAAACCCATCGAGATGTCAAGATGTTTGACGCCTCAGATCGAGGAACAAGTTTCCAAGTCCGATTCTTTGTCTGCGAGGCAAGTTCTTTGTCAATGCCGGTCTGCCAAAATGCAGCTCTAGGCCCGTTGGTTGCCTGGTTGAAAGTCTTGGGACCTTCAATAGCGACATGCGCATGTGAAAGAAGAGCAGCTGCAACGTTGCTCCTCCACCATGATCCGGGAGGTCTGCTGACTCGAGACGATCTTCGCACAGCTGGAGTCGGAGTTGGAGGGGTGACATTCGGAGTTTCGACGGCAGTTGGTACATCATCTTCATCTTCATCATTCTCACTTACAGAATGAGCACCATCGTTTTCAAGAACCTCCTCCGAAACTTCATCCTCTTCAGAACCGACCTCATCCGTATTTGGGGTATCAGCTGTATTCCCATTGTCGCCATCGAGCAGTACAACGTCAACATCAGAGTTGATTGAATCACTTTCGTGTGCAGGAATGTCATGCATACCACATGTCGATTCATCAAACTTGACATCCCGTGACACAACAATTTTATTCAACTCTCCGTCCCAAAGTTTGTATGCCTTACTGCATTGCGAGTACCCAAGAAACATTGCTTCACGCGCTCGCAAGTCCAGCTTACGGAGCTCTAATTTTGGTAATGTATACCAACACTTTGACCCAAATACTCGCAAATGGCCAACATTTGGAGTGGAATTCATCCAAATGTGGTGCGGAGTTGTATTAACGGGCAAAGCGCGTGAAGTAACTCGATTACGTACATATACCGAAGTGGCAACAGCCTCGGCCCAGAATCGCTTACTGACCTGTTTATGAGAAAGCATTGAGCGGACAAGATCAATCAAAGTTCGATTTAAACGTTCAGCAACACCGTTTTGTTCAGGAGTGTACGCCGTTGTGAGTTGGTGCTGCGTACCGTTTAAATCTAAATGCGACTTGAATTCCGTCGACAAGTACTCTCCCCCTCGATCAGTGCGAAGCACCTTTACTTTGCGACCAGTGTGGGTTTGAGCCAACTTTTCATACAACTTGTATTTTGCAAACGCCTCAGATTTATTTCTCATCGTGTACACAACTACCCAGTTCGAGTGATCATCTACAAATGTAATGAAGTATCTCGAACCACCAATCGACTGTACTTCGAGCGGACCGCAAACGTCAGAATGTACCAAGTCAAGACAGTTCTGTGCTCGAGACGATGATCGCTGTTTTGGGATTACTGATCGCGTTGCTTTGCCGAACACACACGCTGGACAAATGAGAGAGTGATTGTCAGACTTCGGATTCATTGCACTGATGACATCGCTTTGAAGAACGTTGATGCCACTTACCACATTATTGTGAATCATTGATGCGATTCCTTGTACATTAACATGGGCCATGCGTTCATGTAGCGTCTGCAGGGTAACTACGTGAGCAGAAAAGGTTTCATTCATGACGTCAAGTATGTACAAATCCCCAACTTGACTCGCTGTGGCAACTACAGTTGGTCCTGCAGTAACGCGGCATTTTTCATTTTCAAATGACACTTGCAAACCCTTTGAAACCATTTGGCTAACAGACAGTAGCGAGTATCCGAAATCAGGGACATGCAAAACGTTTGACAATTTGCAAGGATGGGGACTACCGTTGACGTTCAACATGAATTCTACCTCGCCGCGACCAGCGACATTAGCTCTAGCCTTCGTGCCCATCTCGACTGATCCAGATTGCATCTGTTCATACGTAACGAACAAAGAGCGATCAAACGTAATGTGAGCGCTGCAACCGGAATCGACAAGCCATGACCTTGCGTTTGCAGCCCTCTTTTCTGGAGTGGAAGTCGAAAGCAAGCAAGTAAAGTCACTCTCCGCAAAGGCAGCAGTAGAATTGTCATCTCGAGAAACGAATGCACTTGGCTTTAAGCCAGTGTTGCGTGACCGAAACCCATCTGGCGGTGCAGGTCGGCGCCCATTCACGTCCTTGCCCCAGCAACGCGCTGCAGTATGCCCATGTCTATTGCAATTGGTACATTTCATATCGCGTCGAGTAGGCATACGATTGACAAGTGCAGGTGCATGTGGTGATGAAGCAGAAGCCGTCTTCATGCTTTCTCGTTGTTCTTCTTGCAGCAGACGACTCTTCACAAACTCGAGTCCAAGCACTTTATCTTCATTGCCAAGTGCGTCAAGAGCAACAATCAAGTTATCGAATCGTGGAGGCAAGCCATTCAACACAGCCATTGCAATTTCTTTATCGTCAATCTCAACACTCATTGACTGCAATCTGGCAGCAAGTTGCTTCACACGATTGATGAACACGAGCACTTTCTCGGATGGGAGCATGGATACAGTGTAAAAGTCGCGACGGGCGGCAAGTTTGTTGAGCAAAGTATGACGCTCAAACACATTCAGAATTGCTTCCCGTGTCTCTTTCGCACTACTACACCCTTGCACATGTTGCAAGTAGTCATCAGAAAGCGTGAGTCCGATGACTGCCTTTGCTTTTGCGTCACCACGCATCCATTTTCTCCGGTCATCTGACGTCGCATTCTCCGGGATATCATCAAAAACGTATTGATCGACATCTCGGAGAGCAAGCAGTAGCTGGATTTTCTGCTTCCAGATGTAAAAGTTAGATGCGGTCAGCTTCTCGATTCTGACCGATCCAGAGCTTTGGTCATCCATTTCGCCGAATGGATGTACCCTTCGAGTATACAAGGTCTTCTGTTCCGGGATCCCAAGCCGTTAACCGATAGTCAACACAATGGCAAGCCCACCCGTATAAGAAGTTTGTAGCGATTACTCGGAAACGTTCTTGGTGCTTGTTCCCGGCGGAGTGGAACAAGCGTATTCTTCTTAAAATTGCCTTAGGGCGCTACCCCTGTATGTCGGCCAGTGCGGGTCTTTCGACTGTGAACTAAATCAAACGTGCCACGAGTAAGCACAACACTTTGCCTGTAGACGAACCAGGACTTTTGGTCACTACCGCGAACGGTCCCTGCAACCGAAATCGGCTTGTCCAAACTTGATACGGTACTACCCCAATGAGGTTTCCCACAACACAAGAATGAAACTGCCTTCGTCGTACTCGTGTGATTTGTTCACAATCACGCCTAGGGTCACCCTCTTCCGTGCGAAATTAATCAAGGTACGCGACCTTATACACGTATAGTGAGAGGTTCAGTGTTTAGGCACGTATTCTCTTCACCCAGGGGACCGAAGTCGTACCTATAGGGCTAATACCGAGAGCGTTACCCACACCGCCGACGCACCTCCCGAAGGCAGAGTGCGGATCGACTAGACCAGTACACTGTGATCCTCCCCGACGATCAGTGTTTCGTCTCTCGACGATTCTTGGTCGGACCCTCGCTCAAGTCAGATTTCCAATGGCACAAGCCTTTCACCAAGAGCGAGGGTATCGGCAGCTACGACGATCACCGGCGTGATCGAAGGGCAGTCTTCTTGGATTGATATGGTACGTTGGCGACTAGGGACTACACCCACAGCTCACACAACGATTGCCAAGACCAAGCTGCAACAGACACGAAGAAGATCCACCAAGTTGAAACGACAGCAGGTAGACGGAGACGAACGACCAAGATGATAACGACAGCAAGTAGACGGCGATAGAACAAAACAAACGACGGCGGCGATGAAAACGGCGGCGGAAACGACAGCAGAAACCAAAACGAGAACTACAGCGGAGACCAAAACGAGAACGACAGCAGAAACAAACACGAAAACGGCAGCAGAAACTGAGAACAAGCACTCACACAGCGGAACAATAACGTTGAACTGGGCCCATAACCTACTGGAAGGTCAGCGGGGCAAAGGGAAATCGAAGGACGGTTGATGAGGTGAAGTTGAAGGATTGGGTACCGATTTACTTTGAGTCGCCAACTTCTGGCACTACTTATACACTTCTGCAATCTTCTAGAACTCTACTACCAAAGACTACGACACACATACTACAAATGTATTGGCTCTAACACATGTGCCCGTCTTGCTACTCAGCCAAACTGGGGATGGCCCAACAAACAGAACAGAAAACCGCCTTACGAATTAGCACTGTCATGACGGAGAAATTAGTAAGGCAGTACAACAAAGCACAGCAAAGCACAAATTCCCTTACTATTCCAAATCCAGCGTGGCACAAATTCGTAAGGCACGTTTACAGCTCACACGTTGCATTACGAATTCAAATCAATCCTGCAAGGACTGTTTACAGCGCACGCGTTGCCTTATGAATCTGAATCTCTCGTGAGGTCCTGTCCACTGTCAATTACAACAGTGCACATTTTGCCTTACGAATTGAAAACTCGCGCAACGGTATCTTTGTGTCCTGCTGTACCCGTGCCCCACTCCATGGACGCTGTAAACCTTTGGCACGTGCCAGGCACCCGCCACCAAGGTTCTACACTTTGTCTGTAAGACTGCAGGCGTACTGTACGCGTCTGACAGTGTAATGAGGACATGTGTCCAGGTCATACACGTGTCGGGCGGAGAAAATGAAACATGCTCAGATTGTACAGTACACCGCAACCGTGTACATATTTCACACGTGTACACTTTGAAAACCAAACGTGCTCCTGAAGTACTGTAGAGTGCAACCGTGTACAGAAATCACACGTGTACACGTTGAAAATGAAACTTGCTCAGCTCGTCACGCGGAGTGTTTTCGATTTTACACGTGTCATACCTGTTGTCGTGTGTCATGCATATCAGCATGTGGTCCTAGAATTACAACACTCCCCCTCGATCACATGCTTTTACCAGAAGTAGCTACTGCAAGCCCTAGAAGTTCTACAAACTTCTGGAACAGAACTCGCCCAAGTGCTTTTGTCAGGATATCTGCAGGCATGGAAGTGGTCGGGCAATGTGACAAAGAAATGACGTTTCTCTTAATTGCATCTCGTACATAGTGGTATTTCACATCAACATGTTTGTTACGACGGTTGACCGATTCATTCTGTGCATACGAAATAGTCCCTGCATTGTCACACCCCATCACAATCGTGGGATCAGAATCAAGTCCAAGAACATCAGCAACCACTTGACGCAACCAAGTCGCCTCCTTACACGCTTCACATAGTGCAATGTACTCAGCTTCACACGTCGAAGTTGCAACCACAGTCTGTTTCCGGGAACTCCAACTGATCGCTCCACCGCAGAACTTGAAAACATATCCGCTGGTCGACTTGCGAGAGTCTGAACAACCGGCCCAGTCAGCATCACTGAAGCCGAACAACTCCGGCGATTTATATTTATTGTCAAACACGATTCCTAAGTTTCGAGTCCCTTGCACGTATCGCATTACTCGTTTTACACCTGCCCAGTGTGACTCACATGGGTTGGCAGAATGTTGAGAAAGCTTTCCAATCGCATATGCCAAGTCTGGACGAGTGCCAACCATCAAGTACATCAGGGATCCCACTGCCTCACGATACGGTACATTTGTTTCGGAGTCGTTTTCGGTTGAAATCGTGGTTGTGTGACCTTGTTCCATTGGAGTCAGAGAGGGTTACTAATGGTAGGTTCGGAGGGGCAAGGGAAAGAAGGAGGGCAGGTTGATGTGTGTGAGTGAAGGAGTTGGTGCCGAGGTTTACTTGGAGCCGTCTTTCGGCTATACTTATACACTTTGAGTGTTACACTATCCCATTACTTTGGCACCTCGTAAACCGTACTCACCATATGCGCGACCAAGCGCGGTCCTCTTCTGGCCCGTCCACACTGTTCTATTTCCACCTTACGAATTGACTATTGACTATCAGTGCACAACAGTTTCTACACATTTCGAGTGACTGTAAACCATGGCCCTACGCATGCAATCGTTTCACACCTTACTAATCTGCATCCAGACATGACAGAATATATTCTTTCGCAATGAACAACTTGGCATCTCTCTATTTCCAACAACGCAAAGTCCTGTCATATCTCAGTCCCCATACATGCCCTTGTTTCGTACCTTACTAATTTCGGTACACACTGCCAGACAACTATCACGGATAGCAACAATGTGCATCCAGACTTTCTACACATCTCACGTGATATCCGATGTGAATCACACCAGTACTGTCATCAACTTGCATCCAACGGCGCACCATAACGAGAGCACAGTACAACGTCGCATGCTGACGAGACTGTAGTACAACGGCGCATGCTGATGCAAGGGTCGCATACAGCGTGACGCATACACTGAATACTCACGTAAGTACATGTCTCTTGCGAGAAATACTTGTTGTACTTTTAATTCACATGTACTGTGCTCGGGCACGCGCCGGACCGTATGTAGGCGACGTGTACAAGTGTACGTACACGCAGCAACCTGGCGATGTGTACATGTGTACACCGCACACAAGTGTCCAGCGCCAAGGCCACACGTAATTACCCATTACAACCATGGTGAACAACTTGAAACCCCCGAAATGATGTAATTAATACGTATACCGATCATTCAAGATATATCACCAGCATGAGTGCATATAAGTGGACAATAACAGACCAATAGAATTGCAGCATTCGAACCGACACCCAATAGATTTGCAGTATTGCCTGTGTAGCCCTATAACGGTTCGGGCCAAATGCAAATTTTCGGCATTTATGCAAATTTGCATGACCCTCCAAAAGTCCACTTTCGTCCCCAGAACCCCAAAATCTGAGACTTTACACGTGTCATGTGGTGATATGGGGTGAGGGTCCGGACCGTCGAGTCAAGTACACGTGTCGCTCGATTTTGCACTTTCCAGATAACAGCATGTGGTCGCACATTTTCAATACCTCCCCTCGATCACATGTTTTGGGCAGCTTTGCACTCGGAAAGCCCAACCATGCCCACGAACTTTTCAAACAGCACGCGACCAAGTGGTTTGGTCAGCATATCGGCTGGCATTTCTGTTGTCGGACAATGGTACAATGTGACCAGTTTTCGCTGCACCGCATCTCGAACGAAATGATACGTAATATCAATGTGCTTGTTGCGACGATTTGTAGATTCGTTCTGAGCAAACGCAATCGTACCAGCGTTGTCACATCCAACGCGAATTGTTGGATCCGAATTCGCACCAAGTACATCAGCATGGAAGCGTCGAAGCCACGCAGCCTCTTTGCATGCTTCACTGAGTGCGATGTATTCTGCCTCACAAGTAGACTTTGCAACTACTGTTTGTTTCCGGGAAGCCCAACTGATAGGCCCATCACAAAGCTTGAACACGTACCCACTCGTTGATTTCCGTGATTCAAGGCATCCACCCCAATCTGCGTCGCTATACCCATGAAGTTCCGTACCAAGATCATCTTTACCAAACACTATCCCAAGATGCTGGGACCCACGCAAGTATCTCAAAACACGTTTCACACCTGACCAGTGCGACTCGTGAGGGTCGGCACAGTGTTGAGATAACTTTCCAATGGCAAACGCAATATCGGGGCGGGTCCCGACCATTAGGAACATTAGACATCCAATGGCCTGACGGTATGGTTCAAAGCATGGGTTGTCATCAGTGCCAGTTTCGGCCACTTGCATTGTGACATGTCGAGACTGTTCCATCGGAGTAACGCAAGGATTGCATGCCAACATTTTGAACCGTTTCAGTACTGCTTGGGCATACTTCGACTGCGTGACGGTCAGGACGTGTTTAGAACGTATACGGTCGATCTCTAGACCAATACAAGTCTTCGCTTCGCCAAGGTCTTTCATATCGAATCGTTTGTTGAGTTCATTTTTCATCCATAATATGGCCTCCAAGTCACTTCCAGCTAGCAGCAGATCGTCCACGTACAACGCGATAATCATGATGACATTGCCTTGACGTCGAATGTAAAGACATGGGTCGCTGCGTGTAGTGTTGAAACCAAGTTCAGTGATCAGAAACTCATCGATCTTACTATGCCATTGGCGATGGGCTTGCTTAAGACCATAGATTGCTTTCAAAAGTTTACACACCGAATCAGGTTTGACTTGGTCGATGCATCCTTCAGGTTGCTCCATGTAGATTTCTTCGTGAAGTTCACCGTTGAGGAAGGCAGTCACCACGTCCATCTGATGCAGCTCAAGGTCAAAGTGCGCAACCAGTGCCAGCAGCAGACGGATAGTTGTGAACTTGATGACAGGGGCGAAAGTTTCAGTGTAATCGATGCCTTCTACTTGTTGAAAGCCTCGTGCCACAAGACGTCCCTTTGCAGTTTCGACCAATTTTCCGGACTCGTCAGGAAGTTGCTTCACTCCGAAAACCCACCTGGACGTCAGGATGTTCGATGCTCGAGATCTTGGAACAAGTGTCCATGTTTTGTTTTTGTGTTGTGAAGCAAGTTCTTTGTCGATGCCCTTCTGCCAGAAGCGAGCTTTTGGAGAATCCATAGCTTCCTTGTACGAGTTTGGAATTTCTGTTATCACATGGGCGTGGCTAAGGAGTCCAGCAGTCACCAAAGCTGCTGCCCACCACGCCCCAGGCGTTTTGCGAACGCGAGTGGACCGACGGAGATTAGTTGGCGGATCAATCGTTTCTTCCTCAACTACGTGTTGGTCAACTGTTTCGGTGGTTTCGTCCTCCCCTGAAGTTGGGGAGGAGTTGGAGGATTCATCAGAGTCTTGTTGTTCATCCGGCGATGATGCTTCTGATGCCACTGCATCATTTTCTGCAACTTCCTCATCGATGTTCAAGTTGATTGTGTCATCATCAGTTGAAGCCTCGTCGTTTGTGTCCATCGGTTCACCAGATTTACCACCTGTGGACTCGTCAAAAGTAACATCTCTGGATACGATCACTTTGTGCAAATCACCATCCCACAACTTGTAAGCTTTCGTATTTTCAGCATACCCCAGAAACATTGCCTCCTTTGCACGGGCGTCAAGTTTCTGGATGTTGTGTTTTGGTAATGTATACCAACACTTTGAACCGAAAACACGCAAATGACCAACATTTGGCACAGATTTCATCCATAAGTGGTATGGGGTCATCTTGGGGGGAATGGCACGTGACGTGACTCGATTTCGAACGTACACTGCATTGGCAAGTGCTTCTGCCCAGAACCCCTTTGTAACTTTCTTGTGCGCTAGCATGGAGCGCACCAAGTTTACCAAAGTTCTGTTCAGTCGTTCGGCGACGCCATTTTGCTCCGGTGTGTACGCGGTCGTCATTTGATGCTGAGTACCATTTGCAATCAGAAAAGACTTAAAATCCGTGGACAGATACTCACCACCTCGATCCGTGCGAAGCACTTTGATCTTGCGACCAGTGTGAGTCTGAGCAAGTTGTGCAAACATTTTGTATCGTTCAAATGCTTCTGATTTATGATGCATAGGGTACACTACTGACCAGTTTGAGTGATCATCTATGAAGGTAATGAAGTACTTGGCACCACCAATGGACTGCACCTCTAAGGGGCCACAAACATCAGAGTGAACTAAGTCTAGACAGAAGTATGCCCGCCTCGAGGACCGCTCTTTTGGGATCACAGATCGAGTGGCTTTGCCGTAGACGCACGCAGAACATTTTTCAGAGATGCAATCATTGTTAGTATTGTTGATTTTGTTAGCCTCATTACCAAGTAGTTTGACTCCACTTACCACATTGTCACGAATCATCGAAGCAATACCTTGAGAATGCACATGTGCAAATCGCTCATGCCACGTTTGCAGGGTGGCAGCATGTGCAGATCCGATGTCACTGACGATGTCGAGAACGTAAAGTTCTCCAACCAATGTCGCAGTCGCCACTACAGTTGAGCCTCGTCTGATCATGCATTTTCCATTTTCGAACCCAACTTTTAGTCCAAGTTCAGTCATTCGACTGACAGAGAGTAGAGAGAACGCAAAGTCCGGAACGTGCAATACATCCGTCAACTTGCACGGTTCGATGCGGCCATTCACATTTAACTTCAAGTGAACGTCACCACGGCCCGCAACCTTTGCACTAGCCTTGGTTCCCATCTGAACAGAGGCGGATTCAAGTGGCTCATACGTTGCAAACAAAGATCGGTCATATGTAATATGAGCTGTACAAGCTGAATCTACGAGCCACGAAGGCAACATCTCCATATCGTTCGTGTGCGAAGCTTTCGACATCAGGCATGTGAAGTCGACGCTGTTTACAACCATGTCGGGATCAGGTTTCTGTGTGACAAATGCAGATTGTTTCCGCTGAGACATACGCGGTTTATATCCGGTAGGAGGAGCCGGGCGACGCCCATTCAAATCCTTTCCCCAGCAGCGGGTTGCCGTATGGCCTGTATGACCGCAGTTCGTGCATTTGTAATCGTTTATGTCCCGATTGTTCGGGGCACGATTAACCAGAGCCGATGTCTGTGAGGAGCTAGACTTCATGTTTGCTCGTTGCTCTTCCTGCAGCAGACGACTTTTCACAAAGTCCAAACTGAATATCTTTTCCTCATTACCGAGAGCATCAAGTGCAACGATGAGAGCCTCGAAACGGGCAGGCAGACCGTTGAGCACTGCCATGGCCATCTCCTTGTCATCGATGTTTACGCTCATTGACTTGAGGATGGCTG